TCTGGGGTAGCCCCACAAATAGGGCTGTAGTTAGCCCTACCAGTGTGGCACGGACTGTCACTCCCGATCTATCCTTAGCCACACATCCGTATACGCAATTTTGTGTCGGCGTACTGAAAATTTTCGGCGCACCTACTTATCATCGTGGGCGCAATTTCTTTTGCACACAGAGATGATCCTTACCTCTCCACTTTCTTAGTGCCGTTTATTGAATGATTTCACTCATGTTCTCCTGGTATTTTCCAGTCTTTTTGCCTTCATCTTCACCCATTCAATCTCACGGACTTGCTCTCACAGTCGCCATCTTTAAAATAAGATCGTGGAACATTATATCACTTGACCCCTCATCGTCTCAAGGCTGTTCCATGTCAAGAATCTAAACTGCTGCCAAAGTTTTGGAAGAGCCCATTGGCACATGTAGCATTTTATCGCTCAGTCTGTATATTATTAGAGATGTCTTGCCTGGTATTCTTTTTTCTTACAATGCTCGACATGCCTGTAACTTACAGGCATGTCGAGCATTGTAAGAAAAACTACTTCAACTGCAGCAACCTGGGCCATTGGTCCAGATTCTTTCCATTCAAGTGTAAAAGGTTTTAATCAATCATCATTATCCACTGTCACCGTGTCAGCCATCTTAACATCATTAACATAACATCCTTCAATCCCAGCATGCATTGACAACGGAAGTTGTTAAGTATGGAGTGCCTAATTGACAAAACAATATACATGTACATGTACTCTGCTGCTACACAAGTACTCCAATGTTGCACGATACGAAGGTGGATCCAGGCTCAGATATCAACCCTTTCCCACTCCTGCCAGAGACATCCCAGGTCAATTTGCACTGCCCTTTCGCCCCTTTACTCCTTCCATTGCCACTGCAACCTCAGAACTCGGCAAACTCGGAACTTGAAGCATCATCCAAGTCCTAGCTCTGTCGCTGACAAAGTTTCCGACATATACAGTGTACATTGTGATCGCTATCCTGATATAAATTCAGACACTGTCAATGTCAAAGGTACAGAAGACTCAAGTTGCATTCTGAAATTTGGGTCAGTATTGGTGCACCTGGTATGATTCTGTCCATTACAAGGGAGGGTCTTATGTTATGGTTTTCAGAAGAGCCCCCATCTCATTTCCTACCAAATAACGCTTCAGCTCTCCACAATTATGGTTTTGTCACAGAGTCGGTTTCGGAACTCCTGGCTTCCAATAGAATTATCAAGATAGGGGGGCCCCCTCTTATGTTACTAGCCCTCTTTCAGTGGTGTGTCAAGCCTCGAATAAAAAGCGTCTGATTTTAGATCTGAGTCAGTTGAATAACATTATCACAAAATATCACTTCAAATTCAAAGATTGGAAGATTGTTTTGCAGTATTTCAAGCCAAATTCTCTATTTTCATTCGATCTCAAATCCGGCTATCATTACGTTGACATTCATCCTCAATTTCAAAAATATTTAGGCTTTTCCTGGATTATAGGTGGCATTCAGAAGTATTGTCAGTTCAGTTTTGTCGTTTGGACTAACTTCTGCTCCTCTAGTTTTCACAAAGCTAAAATAGCCCCTTGTTTCTCATTGGCGTTCATGAGGCATCTTCATGGTGTTGTATTTGGATGATGGTTTAGTTGTTGTTCCTCTTTCCAATCTTCCTCCTTCTGAGCAGTCTAAATTAGCCGCCGATATATCGCTTCATGTAAAATCAGATCTCGTGAAAGCTGGTTTCGTTTATAACATTAACAAAAGTAAATGGAAGCCTTCCTCGTCCATTGTTTGGTTAGGCATTTCTTGGGATGTTAATAGTGGAATTCTTAAGGTTTTGGATCATCGTGTTCAAAAACTTCAATCGGCTATTGTTTCTTTACAATCATCCCCCAATTGTTTGGTTAGGAATTTACATTCTGTAGTTAGCCGGATTATTTCTTTATCTCCTGTAGTCAGTAGTGTCAGTAGATTAATGTCCAGAAATAGTCAAAGCACCATAGCGATAGCTAAAGATGAGGATAAGATCATCAGACTTGATAATTCTTGTCTATCCGAGCTCACTTGAATAAGCCTTTTGCGAGTTAAACTTGAATAAAATCTTGTACACTGAGTTCTTTAAATTACGTTAACATAACAATTGGAATTCTCTGTACTAAAGCCACTGTTGCTATACGTTGTGATTCGGGGCAAGTTTTTCCTTAGTTACATAAGAGACGCCTTGCAACAATACACTGTTCTCAATGGAAAAGAAGGGCACAAAGGAACCAGTCCATTCCAGAGAGGGTGGTCGCTAAGCAAAAGCTTGCCCCGAATTGTTATGTTTACGTGTAATCAGATACCTCAGTGTGCCAGATTTTATTCAAATTTAACTCGCAAATGGCGTATTCTGGCACAAGAATGTTTCTCGTTTAAACCAATGTTTCTTTTTCTATCTCCCAAAATGAACAAAATCATCAGCTCAGACACCAGTTCTTTCACCTCGGGAGCTGTTATTTGCAGTAATGGTCACATGGCCGATAAAAAAGTTTCCTCAGATAATAAATAAAAAAGTTAAACTTGGCAAGAGTTGGAAACAGTGTTTTTTTCATCATGTTCTTTCTTGCTATTGATCGCAAAATCTCATGTCAAAGTTTTCACACATAATCAAGCGGCTTCCAAAGTAATTGAAGTTGGCAGCATGAAACCTCATCTCCAGTCTTTGGCTTTCTTTTATTTTTGCTCAGAAAACCAAATCTATCTCGAAATTGAATGGATTCCCAGCTCTCTTAATGAACAAGCCGATTTTGTCAGCAAATTATTAGACGTTGATGATTGGGGTCTTTCTGATGAACTTTTCAAATCCATCATTGACAGGTGGGGTCCCTTAACCGTCGACTGTTTTGCTTCCTACTATAATGCCAAATTGCCTCATTTCTTTTCCAGATTTAGGAATCCGGGGGCCGAAGCCATTGACGCTTTTGCGCAAGACTGGTCCGCTGAAAATGTTTTATTAGTTCCTCCGGTTTCCTTAATTCCCCAGGTTCTTTTTCATTTTTTCTGGTTTTCCCGTGGTGACTGTCCAGCCCATTTTGGCCAATATTACGGACAACCTTCAAGCCCTTCATAGTAGACATGATTACAGTGCCTGGAAATTTTGCCCTAATTCATGCAAGAAATAAAAATTCTTTGCTTGGGTTATCTGAATTTGTGAGAATCTAGTGGGCGCCGTCAAAATTCAGATTATTTAGTGTATATAGTGTCCGGTAATGCTATCCTTTGTTTTTACACAGATTGTTCTCCAGCAACCTTTTTGGCTAGAATTTCCACCTGCAATTTCCGGTCGTAAGGAATAATTGTTGTGTGAGGCTATTGCTTCCAAGTCGGAGGGCACATGCAATTCATATTTTTACAGGTGTCGACTTTTTGTAAAATGGTTGGTTGAGAATAAATTTCGTCTTTGTTTCCAGTAGGGGAAGATGTTTTGACAGTTTATTTTTCTGAACTCAAGTTCAGGTCCAATTCTGATAGTGTCATTACAACAACTGCTGCTACCATAAAATGGCTTCACTCCTTAATGATTGTTCACATCCATACTGTAGATTCTCCTCTTGTTCAACTTATGCTGATTAGTTTCAGAAAAGATCTTCACCACCCTCTGGCTCAAAAGGTTCCTTTAACTTTGGAGCAACTTAAGAAAATACTGGACATCTTTGCCAAAGATGATTGTGCAGCTTCGCACTACATGTTATGTGTATATAAGACAGAATGAAATTGCAGAAATGAAATGCAATCATATTTTGGTTCTTCCCACCAGCAAAGGTTATGAGGATTTCATTCCTAAATCAAAAACTTATACATTCAGGCAGCGTAATGTGACGTTTATTCCATTTTCTCAAGAGAGTCATTCGCCATTTTGTATTTTGCTAAGGTTTTTGCACAGACCCGGTATAGGTATTGGGACGATGAGTTTATTTTTACCCCTTAAATTTTGTTCTTCCACCAAATCTTACAAGCGTACTCGGAATAAACCACTAGCTTACACTAGGTGCAGAGAATTATATATGCTCTGAAATCAATTGGTATTACAGATACTAGTGATTACGGTCTTCACAGTTTAAGGTCACGATGTGCCACTCGATTAGCTTTAAATAATGTAAAGGGGTTAATGTGCTTAAACCATGAGATATGATTATAATGTATAAGGATCTCCGAAAAGTAGAAGCAGTATTCTTTCTAATGATACCTTGATGGTATCCCCCCTGTCATGCATGACTGAACACCATTGTCTTGAAAATGGGGCATCCGAACTCAGTTGTTACAATTTTTCTGGGACACCCTGTATAATTTATGCTTTGTGAGTTTTCTGCAGTACAGTTGTAAAATTGTACAGAATGTAATTTCACAGTTATAATCGTTTTTCTTAGGCAGTTAGTTTATTGCAGCCTGTAAGCTTGTAAATTGTTAATTAAGGCTAAAGTTTAGCCGTGATGTTGTGAAGCTACCTAGGCTGTTGTGAAGCAACCGAGGCTGTTGTAAAGCCACCATGTCTTGGTCGCCAGTATTGTTTGTAAATTTTCATTGCAATTAAATTTAATTGGATATTCAGATTGCAGTGCATGCAGACCCGTATTCCCATGTTGTCTCAATAAAATGACTGAAATGCAATTCTATTCTCTTGCCTCCTCCTTTAGAGTCGGTGTAAAACACAAAACTTTTTTTCATGCGTATGAGCGCAGCGAAGGAGCATGAAACATTCTTTTTCCAGGACTTGTGACATACGCCCTCTGTTGGCGTTAGTGGTCACCAGCCACTGGAAACTATCAGTCCTAAATTCGGGATTTATACAAATATTTGTATGATCCCTCCTGATTATGGCATGTCTTATTGTGAAAGCCCCGTGGGATCACAAAATATTAATGAGCTCACCCGCAGAAATCCAATGATTTGGTGGAATGCACCACTAGGGCCTACAAGATTTGATCATGAATAATGGTATCTAATGGAACTTAACTCCGTCTCTTAGGGCGCCCCCTATTTCCACCAGTGAGGTGACAGCACGATGCGACGGTACGGTACGGCTGAAGGGGACGAGGCAATAGGTCGACGGCACGAAGCGACAGCACGACGAGACAGTAAGATGGGACAGTACGACGCGACGGCAAGACAGCAGGGCACGATGCGGCGGCAGGACGCGTAATGCATTACACACATCATAAATGTAATCAGTTGCCTGTGGCAAGTCAATGGTGTACCATCTTTGTATGTATCACATAGTTGTTCACTATATCTCATGGACCTATAGCAACTGTTACTATTCAGCTATTGTTGCAGCAGTGCCACGATTTCACGGCCGTCTCGTGAGGGCGCGCTTCACGGAATTCGGACCAGGGTTTCAAATCAGCAATCATCATACATCCGAGGGGGTTCAGAAGTATTTAGTTGGGTAAGTTATCATTCGAAATCTTTATTCAGTCAAGGGCATTTTCTAGCAAATAGTGGAGCCGTTTATATGGGTTATTTATCTAAAATTTACTATGGGTTATTACGCACAAATTATTGCAGGAATACCAACACATCTCCCAGCGCGCCTTTTCATTCTATTTAGATTGAAGTCATTAGGACAGTGTAATGATAACAAGATCTTTCTTAAATGTGCTGTTAATTATCTTTGTTTTCTCTTTACTTGAAGCTCACATATATTCAAGGGAGGGACAGCAACTACATACCGGGAGGGATTTTTCTTGAATTTCTTCATAAATGCATGTCCAAGTCATCAAGTCAGTGTACCAAGTTCTTGCTGAGCATGCAGTAAACCAGATTGCCAACTAAACTTGAAAAATAGTCTACAGCTATACAATGCATTCCTTTAATTGTACTGTGTACAGTCAAGTGTGACTAGAGTATAAGATGCCCTAGAAAGGAATGGGCAGTGTGATTCTTTCTGTCGTCTCTGCTCACTGCATCAGCCTGTATTATTTGGGCTGCTATGTGGTCTCAACTGGGGTGTGGCCCAAGTACATGTCGTCAATGGAAAACTGGTGCAGTACTGGTGGAATGACCAACCCTCGGTGGATGCCTGATTTAAGGTATAAACATTACTCGTGTGTATAAATGTATCAATTATTGGAAGACAGTTCATGTAAATGTAATTGCTGAAATGGCAACTGCATTATTGGAAATGATACAACATGACTTGTTTTACTCTTTTATAGGTTACACCATGACTCCCTCAAATTTAGGGTTTCATCTCCTGGGCAGTTCTAGTTTTGGGGTTTTATTATTCAGTCTCTAGTTTAATTTGTTCTGGTCTTAAGTTTTAAACCTTGGATACTTAATTTTATATTGATGTAAAGTGAGACTTGTCTTTATTGTTGTAATGGAATTGTCTCTCGAGTTTGATCAACACATCAATAAAGATGGTCCAATTTAGTGGGATTCACAAGTGGTTCGTTTTATTTTAACGTTTTGCCTGGTGGCCAGAGTCTTCTTCCCTATTCAAGTATTAAGTTGTGCTCCCTGCTTGCTGCTCCAGACCTTCAAAGTCCTCGACTAGCATAAGCTATGACATGTTCCTTGCCATCTTGTATTTGGGAAAGATAATCGAGGCCTTTGCAAGTTATTACTGTACATAAGAGATAATACGAAGAACCATGAAATTAAATTAAGAGAACTTGAATACATGGGAAATAGAGGCTTGCGATTGAGCAAACTTGTGATTATAAACTTTTTATCAGGTTGTTCAAAATGCCCTCTACTTATCTGCGTATATTTTCATAAATATTCTTGTATTTTTACAGCAATCCTTGAGTTCCTCACACCTAAAGTGTAGCAGTGCTCTACGTACTGCCAGCTAGACGCTGTTGATAGGTCTGATATACTAGTACACTGTCTATTACTTTCCATAAGCCACAAGAATCATAAAGGGAACTGTCTTAACACGGTTTCTAGGATTTTATAAATTACACAGGTATCTTATTATAATACTTTCTATTGCCAATGATGGGAAACTAGAAGTACAAGGAATTGGGACTTAAAATTGCATATGTTGTAAACAGGACTTGTATTAACAGCGCTTTCTTTATGTGCTGGACTGTATGGAAATAAGTGCAACTGTGGATTAATCTGAAATTAGAGTACACATTTAATAAGATATGTTATATTGTCATGAACATGCTAGATGCATGAAACAAGCAAGCTTGTATCTTGGAAGATACAGATATTTTAGACTGCACTTGCTTGTAAAATTAACTTAAATTAACAAATCAAAATGTGAAAAAAATTGTGTGTTTAATAATTAGTTTTCTTTCTTATATCTATTACAGGTCGAGATCATTGACTGTGGTTTTTTTTTTATTTGTATAAATATAAATTCTCTCACACTTTGAGGCATTGTACAAGTTGTAAATAAAATATTGAATGTAGTATTCGTACCACCACATTCCCTGTTGTCTTTATTTGTTTATTACTTTTAACTGAGTCCATATACCACTCGGTTAAATAAAAGAAATGACGGGACGACACCACGCAAATTTGGCGGCTATAGAACACCATATTCCCCTCTGCAGGTTTCTCCAGGCTTTACGTGAGCTACAGTGCCTTGGGCGCATTTGAGGAATCCTGATGTCATTACTAATAATAAATTTACCAGGCCTAGGCCTACTATGCTAAAACCTGTTCTTTTCAAATGCCTGGATTAACATGAAACAGTAGGCCTTAGTGGGACCAGCCTGCCGCTTTCAGTCAATTGGCAGGGGCCTCATAGCAAAACGTGCACATTTCCTTTTACACAAGTTCAGTCAGCAGTAAACATATCGAAGTATCCCGATACTGATAAATGCATATATCACTTACATTGATACTCCTTATTTGTTTTCTAATTTTTGGTGTACGTGTTGTTTTGTTCGTATCCATGTAGCCTTGGTCAAGGCATGTTTTCCTTCCTCCATGGTCAAGGCGTCCCTCAGTATGGAATTCCATATCTGCCGTCGCGCGTCGTCCGTCTCCTCTTGTTTTTGTTGTATCCCAATTCTGCCATATTCCAGTTCCACATATGCCGTTTTCTGTCGTCCGTCCCCCGTCGTGCATCGTGCTTGAATTTCCCTGCAGATAAAAGTTGGGTGGTTTTCGTGCCGAGCAGCGAAAAGCCTTAGAATACGTTCTGCGGGGTCACGACGTTTTCGTGAATTTGCCCACAGACAACGGAAAATCTGTTATTTTTCAGGCTGCACCTTTCTGCTCGGAGCTCTCAGACCAGATACAAAGCCAAAAGCGTTAATCGTTTCTCCTCTGACGTCTTTGATACAGGATCTAGTCAATTTGTTGGCTGCTAAGGGATTAAAGCTGCATGTTTGGCCAAAAACACTTGTCATATAATGTACATGTACTTGTGTAGCCACGTGGTCATCAGTTAACCTTTTACCTTACGACAACTTGAATTATGCAGTTCCTATGTAGTAATGAACCAATCCAAAAGCGTACTTAACCCGTCGGCTCTTGTCATTAGCATAACGAGCACCGCCCAATACAGATTCCGCGGACAGTTGCACCAAGGCGTTTGTGATCGTCCTGGTTCATCTGATTTGCACATTTCTTAGGCCGCGTGAGGTCTTGGCCTTGATTTTGCAATGTATACAGGTACGTAATGTACATGTACAGTACGTAAGCAGGTACCCACGTCAGTGAGCGGCTGGTACGGTGCGCGCTGCGCTGCGACGAATGACGAACGCCTTGACCAAGGCTAGTATCGTTTTGGAGAAAAAATGGAACCTCCAATTCAAAGCATTATTCGAAGCCTCGGATTGGAATGGGGGCTTCAAAATGGCTGCCAGCATTGAAGTTTGAGCCCAAGTCTCCGTTTCGAAAACGCCCTGTGTCTGTGGTCTTCCCTAGATGACATCACAGCAACAGTGCCCTCAGTTTTCCTGGAAAGCAAAGGAAATTTAAATGTTTTAAAAAGTTTAATTCAATCCATTGAACCAAATGGAAGTTTGAATTAGGTTTCATACGTTGAAAAAGAGTACAGAGTTGAAGAAAAATTGTCTTGGAAATAATTATTGCAGCTAAACTTTAAAGGCTCTCGTGTAGAGAATTTTGCATGTATTCGCAAGTTAGAATTATCGACCAAAGGTTATGGTTGCCACAGTAAGAGTGTTTTATTTAGTTCCTCCACTGGCATAGTGTTTGTTCCCACGACTTTATGTCCAGTTGTTCAGTTATTCAAATATTCTGGCAAATTACCTACAGTGCGCATTTATATATCACTCCAGCAAAACCTTCTAAGCCTTCAAAACCTACCGGATATTCCAAACCTTCCGGATATTCCAAATTTCCTACACCTAGCAAATTATGCCAGGTTTCACCATCGATTAAACCTACCGGATCTTTGGACCATTTTCATTTTTGAACCATCTCAGCCTAGACTGAGCCATAGATCGACACGGTCCGAACTATTAGCCTTTCGGACTTACGACACCTTCCGAGTTCACAGTCTTTCTCTTGTATACTGCACTCCTTGAATCGGGTTTTCACCGAGTGAGCTCTTGAACTGTTAAGAACTATTTGCTCGAATCGCTCAGAGTTTTGGAGATTCGTGTATAATTTGTATAAGTTCCTGAAGTTCCTTGAATGGTGTTATACCCAATCTCTCGGATTTAAAGTTGCAAGTGTAATTGTACAATTGGGATTACTAATATTACCAACCCATTCTAATTTGGTAACCCGGTGAAGTTCGACCGCGTTAGTTTGCTACAAAATGTAAGCTGCAATCTTGGATAAAATTGACTGGACACCTGGCCATAGCCATCATGGCTTTCTAGCCACGGACGTACATTAAAAAAACCTGGACTTGCAACGCCTTTGTTGTGACCATGGAGGAAGGACACAGAAGGGGTTTGAACTGCCTGGGCTATAACATATGGCAATTACCGCTTTCTGGCCTGCCCGGTATATGTCCATAGCCAGAGCACAGCGAATGCTTACTACGTACCACCTGTTTCACAACCACCAGCCCCCTTTGTACCCCATGAACACCGCCGTAATTTTTCGTTGGTAATCTGTATCCTTAATTAAAACGTCCAGTACTGCTGTATAGGAAGTAGAATATTCATGCCCTCGTTGGTACTTGGTATGATTTGACAACATCAAATTGAATAATTGCGCAGTTGCTTTTATTAGGCTGTGTACTTGAAGTGTTCATGTGCAGTTGTTGCCCTTATCGAACGCTTTCTTCTGGACTTCTTTTGGGTCAAGAGTAGACGACATAAGAAACTTTTAATTGGCAAGATCTAGGAAAACCTGTACTCTTGATAGATAAGTTAGATATGGTACACAAATGGTTACTGTCTTTCGTTATTTCTATTTTGTACATGGGCCTATTCTCAAAATATCATCGGCCGTCGCTACAGCATAGAGCTCTTTGTTTAGTTACGACGTCGTGTTGAACTCCGAAGAACTCGCCAAAGACGTAGGCTATTAAAGCAAGGATCCCATCGTAAGTACAAGCATGGCAAATAGTGCGAGTTCTTTTTCAATTATCCGCTCCGATCAGGAACGAATCGAAATTGACATTCGTTTGTACCATTGATCTCCATTATAAAAAGTGGATACCCCGAACGCGTGCAAGAACCCGGTTGCAAAACTTGGTACTATCTGTCTTTCTCTCACCGGTGAGGGTGCACTTCAGCAAAAGGCGGGTAGCATCTGCCCTGTCACCTTTGGTAGCGATGTTCAAGCCGGACAAACACATTAGCTTTAGAATACAGGACGACATGTTAACAAGATTAGACGGAAATTTGTTAAAGATAATAAGTAAATTTACAAATGGCCATAAAAAGCAATCGTGCGGAGAGATTTCGCAGATGGACCATAATTCCTTTACAATAAGCTAGAATTAAAGCAGGCGCGGTTCTAGAGCCTTTTTTTGGGGGGGGGGACTGGACCCTTCGCACGTAAATTCACCTTTAATCTTTGCTACTGCTTTTTCGTTTTAGGGCCTAGGGGGGGGGGGCTAAAGCCCCCTTAACACCCTGTAGAACAGCGACTGATTTTAAGTAATTAAATTCGACAATCTTTTTTTTTAGATTTGGGGAATCATGTAGGCTGCCTTTCAAACCACGCTGCTGTAACTGGATCCTATAATGGTTGCTCCTGGCTTCGTTATCGTCGCTATTCGAATGAATTAATCAGAGTGGTAGGTTATCGATCCGACATGATCGCCTTGCATTAGATTGGTTTCCACCCTATTATTTTCATAGCCCATGGCCGTAAATAGTGAGAAGAAACCGGATGGAAGCTGGAAGCAAGTCTAGTTGATATCGACGTAAAGGTACGTTACTCATTACTTGTCCTATTTATAGACTGTACGTTCGCTGATACTGAATTGAATCCCTTAAGGCTTCAGGCATATTATCTGCTGTATATTGGAGCAAGGAACACCTGAATGTTGTGCGCTAAAGCAAATAAACCAATTTATCGATATTCTTTACTCTTAAGCTTTAGAAACCATTACATGTATTGAAACTGCGCCATATTCCCGAGCAACAGGATTCTACTCTTTGTCAATATATGTATAAAATTTAATAGAGCAGGAATGTATTTGTTGTTGGACTATCAGCTTTTAGTGTTGATACCATAATTGTTGGTGAACATACCGACTATAAACGTGATTACGTAATCGAGGTAACGGGCTGGCCGTCTTTCTGACAACACCAAAGCACCAAATCGTCGAAATTCGTAAAACAAGCAACAAGCAGGAAAGGAAATTTGGAAGATATTTAAATCCAAACGTTCCACGGATTACCTACTCGCCGATTAACCCGCGATAAAAGCAAGTGACCTTACAAAGCCACGAGGTAAACTCGTGTACAAAATGGCCGAATTGGTTGAAGAGTGACCATCGTAGGGAATGTGCGGAGACTGGGGTCTATATTATGTAACACCCTGTCCTCGCCGTACACTCACTGATCAGCTTGTTGCCTTTGAACCATTCATGTATGCAGTACATATCGAGCAATTATGTGAGACAGAGAGAACCTCCCCTTGCTTTATGTTGGTCATTGTCTCACTGGAATCTGAGCAATTCTTTTCAGACATGTGTGTGGGGGGGTGTTAGGTAACAATAGTTTAGCGTGTGTATAGTGATTGGACATGTTGAGGGGTACCCCTCGGTCTCATTTCTTGCTGGATATAATGCAGTTGGTCTTCAGAAGTTTTCCATTTCATGAGAATGGTAGAATGCGTGGAGTTACCTTCTCGTTGGTGATCAAAGTTACACCCAGGAATTAACGGTATTAACCCTAATAGTCCTCAATCCTTCAATTTCAATATGATGCTACATACACCTTAGAGGGTTAGGATTATTAAGTCTACCATGGAGGAAGGAAAAGACAATGATGATTGTCTTTCATTCATAGCAAACAGCAGTGCGATAATCATGCAGCTAATTTGCATCGCTTCACCGTGCTGTATTATATCAGTATTTCAGCAATAGAGGCATTCACATTTTTCAGGTAGGTTTATTTCGGAGTTTGTTTTTCTTTTCCAGTGCTTGTACTTGAAAAATCACTAGCAGTCTCACATTCGGATTAAAACAAACCTTTGAGTGAAGCAGTCGAAAGGAAGTCAAAGAAACAATCAAATAAATAGTAAACAAACATTCTCTCCTTAATGAATGTCCTTCTATCTTCAAGTTCGTGGGTGATCTTTGACGCCCAAATTGAAACGGTCACATGTTATATTCTTGGTTATTTTTAACCAACAACACTTGTCGAAACGTCGAATTAACACTCAAGTATCAGAACCATGCCTCTTCCATAAAGTAAGCTACCCACATGGTGTTACCCCAAGCCGTCTCTTGTGCTCCTTTGCTAGGCCTTGGAGGCTGTTGTTTGTTATTTTAATTTAGTAACAGTAAATGACAAGAGGTTTATTCGACCCATTATGTCTCCACTTTAAAGCACATTCTATATACTCCCCCTGCTGTAATGACTGCCAGGGTAGCGAGCCTTTTCTGAAAGAAAGGTTGAGTAGTGTAATTACACAACCACAACCCAACCCCTACTGAAATGTTATCGGCAGGGCATCCCTCCTCTTGTATGGTGTTCTATATCTGCCATCTCATATCTCCCCTCTCGTGTCTTGCCTTTCGTACCTTCCTCTGTCGTATCTGGAGCCATGCGTTAAATGTAAACATATAATAGATACGGTAGGGACCTCATGAATATTGATAAGTAGTCTTGGGACTCCGCCCATTTTACTGCCGTCTTGACCTGATCATGCCGGGCCGTGGACGAGGGAAACACTGAGTTTGTGGCTTAAGCACACAGTTTCCAGCGTTCTGGTAGTCAATTTGGCCAACTGGTAAATATCCGCTATTTGTAGGGGGACACTGGGTATCTTGGTGACCTTTTCATGAACGCCATGTACAGTATTTATTTGTAAATTGGGGACATTTTGCTTCTTGTCAGATCAGTGACTTCAGTCACGTAACGTTTCCTCACGTGTTTCCTGTGTCGTTTCAATGTACGTGCCTGTAGTGCAGTGCGGCACGGGTGGACCGGCGCGCGCGCACCATGGGTGCATATAACGTGTACATTGTACTTTTCCGCTGTGACCCCTGACCCAGGACTCACAGCTTGTGCGCGCGTGCTTTTATAATCTTTCCAAGTTGTCAATGGGCGACACAACTGCACAAATACACCTTCGGATCATTATGGGTTTACATTCTACTTTGCAGACAATCACTCCTTTGGTGCTGTTATTATTGCTATTTTTATTTATACTAAAATTTAATGTTATATTGCAGAACAGCCTTGAACGCATGCAGCACTTTAAGTACATGTAATTAATTCAGAGATTGTTGGCGAGGTGCTGGGTGAGTTTGATGCGTGTCCACATCCTTAGACCGTGTGAGAATTTCTTTGTAATTTATAATTTGAATCAAACATGATTGTATTAATCACAGATAATTACTGTGCGATACATGTTATTTTTACTCTGGACTTGTTACAGCTGGCATTTGTTTCTGCTGGGATTTTGTCACAACTGGATTTTGTTATAGCTAGGATTTTGTTAAGGCTGGAAATCAATAAACCCAACATCAAGTATCATCAACTTTGATTGACCGGTCTCTCTTACTGGAGGATAACACCTCAACCAACGTGGGCTAAGGGCTCACATACTTCCGAACCGTACCGACGCACACACGTCGCTTCACTTCAAGACACTTTACACAGCCTGAAAGTTTACCCCTGATGGCGCACTTCAGGAACCCTTGGATAGGAAAAATAACGTGCAAAGATTTCATAATTTGTAGTATCTTTTCCTTAAGTTACTTCTTAAGAAATCCAACCCAGAAAAGGGGCTTTGGGAAATATTTGCTAGTATCAATTTGTAGAAAATGAAAAATCACCCGGCCTAAAAGAGAAAAATCCTGCTAAAAATTGACCTATCACTTCCAAAAATCTGAAATACACGAAGAACAGTGTAATTCGGCAGTATCGTACGCAGAGGAACATTTACGGTTTGAAATTTTATGGTGGTCTGTCGATAAAAGCCGAAAAAAAGATCAAAACATTTTACACACTTTTATAATTTCTAAGGTAAAACCACATCCAGGTAAATTTCCTAAGTATCACTTGAGGAAGACAAAAGTAAAATTTGAACATGAATGTTTCCCGGGGTGGTTTCAGTTAGGAATTATTCTTCCAAAATTTATCGAACGTGATGGAACGGCCTAATGTGAAATCCCCACAGGCATACCACGCAAGGGTTCCGGAAGCTCGCTGCGTGACCTTTTACTTTTAGGCTCTATTTACGTAATACGGCCGCGTAATTTTTTTTGCCCTAGGAGGTTTTGGGGTAATTATATAGGTTTTCCCGACCAATTTCAGAAAATGTGTAGATGAATTAGTAATGGCAGCATTCGTTTTCGTGCGAAATGGAACAAACATTCAAATCCCCGTTTCTATTTAACAAATAAAAATTTTATTTCAGTGAGGGTGCGTTCGGTCGTATACATGTAGAGTCAGCGTGCAATTTCACGATATTGCACTGGTTTAGAATGTTGACATTCATTTTTACGCGATATTGATTGCATCTCTGCAATCCTGCATTCATCTTAATTTGAACTCAAATCTACAAGCAATTTCGCACAAAGTGTAATATTTAAGGTAGGCCTGGTCAAGAATTCGAATTGATGTGTGTGTTAACAGAAGTTATATTCTTAGTTGAAGATGATTAAATGTTTGAATATTCATGACTGAAAAAGACCATTCATGCTTTCCATAAAAACATACCGACAAACACCGACACTGTGGTACCGGTAACCTGTCTTTCTCGCGGTTCGTTTTGACCATAATCACATAAGAGTTCACACATGGTCTTCTTGCAATGGCCGAACGGAAAGATACAGAAAAATCATCGACCCAAATAGGTGTACACCATAATCCTTGATAAGAATATAATATAAAATCAGTGCTCTGGAAATGTGATTGCCAAGCTTTCAGTAACTGAGTACCTTCTTGAGCGCAAGCAGATTCAGTCCCCAACAGAACGATCGCGCCTAAACGCACAAATCGGGGGTTCGGTGAAAGTGGAAGCTGTCATGGCAGCATCATTTCCGAGTGTACTTTAATCCTTCGCGAGTAACATTACATTCATCATCAAAGTGGTGTCATGATTTCTGTAACCCTATATATTTCAATTTGAACGCAAATGTTTTTAATTTGAATTACATCAAATGAAAATGAACACTCAATGCCGACAGTTTACGGAAAAAGACAGATTTTCAATAAATAAGATTGCATGGGGCCTATTGGTTACAATTGGCAAAAAATACGTTAAATTGAAATCCCAATCACTTATTTGTAACCTCTTAAATGAAACGTAATGCACATTCGTTTATTTGAAGGATGCCAAACGAAGTTGAAAGCTTGTTTTGAGAATTGAGAAGCCAGGTTTTCTGTCGTTTTCAAAATCCAGGCCAAATTGAATTTTTGTTTGACAAATTATGCTGCGCATTTTCTGAAATTGGCCGGGAAAACCTATAATATCAATACCCGTACGCATGCGTACTACTCATAGAGATCAGCTTTCGTGACACGGACGTCGTTGAAGCCACTAGTAGTAGAATGGCGGCTTTTTTTTTTACCGTGCCGAAAGTTCGTGAACAAAACACCAACCTATGGAACACTGGCACTGCTATGATCTTTGATATTTTCGTCAAAATATTCAATGATTTCGGTGCACCACATTCGAATAGCGCCCAAGGGTTACGATAGTGATTAGTAGGCACAAACTCTTGCAGATAGAGTTCATGTCCCACGTTAGCACCGAAGAAAGCGTAAATTATAGCTCAATATTTTCACAGTTCTCTGAATAGGTTATGTACAATTATGTACAAGGCTCACTGGCGATTTAACACGACCAAACCTGACGGCCTCGTATCACATAAAGATTTTTATCCCAATACTTGGCTCATTCTTTGTAAACAATTTTGTAATTGAAAACTTTTGTTTGGCTCGCATTGTATTGATTTTTAATCGCCTAATGAATTTTATTTTACTTCTTTTTAACAGAGTGTTGGCCAACAATTGGAGTTATTTTACTCTCATGCAGGCCCCCAGTCAGACTAGTGTCAATGTTTTGGTATGGCAAATATTCTCCACAATTTTCAAGTGCATGCACTTCATGCCTTGTCAACCTGATTTTTTGGGGGGTGGGGGTGGGAAGGGGTCAGGAACGTCTCAATTGCCTTTCAGTTTCTGTTTATATGAAAGGTAATCGTCAGAAATCTATCAATGAAATGCAAAGGACAGCCCTTCCTGAGAATCCTGACATGCCTGAGGATCAGAGTTAATCTTACCAAATGTTGTGCACACTGTGGCATCACAAAGCAGCATATGCTCATCGTGTTTCTGTTCTTGTGAAAGAAAATTCCTATCCTAAAAATGCTATAACAATTTCCAGAAAAATTGGGGCTTTCTCTCTTTTTTGTCGAATTCTACAAACAATATTGTTTGAGAGAAACCGCTAGAATACGCGCACAAAGCGACAAAAACCAGGCGAGCACTTCCTGAATGCTTATACTCGGCCTGCACTAAATTGTGGACTTAAATGTAAACTCAAGCTTTTTTAATTATTTCATGATTACATGGGACATGGGGTTTGCAAGGCTTGTTCCTAATGATCACCACAGTAACCTGTGGGCAGTAATCAAATGTGGTGCACTGAAATTATTGAATATTTTCAACAAAAGTATCAAAGAGCGTAGTAATTTTCCATAGGTTAGCGTTTTGTTCACAAACCTCCGGCACAGTAAAAAAGCCGCGACTGCACCTTTACTTCTGGTAGCTTCAACGACGTCCGTAACACGAATCCTGATGTCTCTTATGCATGCGCAGGGGTCTTGATATCATAACTACCCCTAACCCGCCTAGGAAACAATTACACACAGGGCCCATTCACAAAGCAATGTGCCACCAAGATGTTGACATGGAAAGTCGAAAAG